TGTTTCTTCCCTCTGATCTTGGACAAGACATCTAAAACTCCTATTTTTGCCTTGCATCTTCTGTCAAATGGACCTAATATTTGTCTACTTCACATATTTTGTGCAACTTAGTCATGAATGGAAGGCAGGAAAATAAGGTTATCAATGCATATATTAGAAATATATCTTCACTTACCTTCTTTACGGAGTCTAGACTGTAGTATCTTTCCTTGCTACCTTTGACATCATGGCTAAGTACAGACAGTCAAAAAGCCTGAGGCTGAATCGATTCAATCTTCACAGGTTAGTCTAAATTGTGTAGATTGAACTGATAAGCAAGTGAACGGGCATTCACTTTTGATTCCAGAAATGCCTGCAGTGACGCAGGCCAAAAACCAGGAGGGAGCTAGAGCACACCTCTCTGCTCAGCTGGAGCAGCCAGTTTAGACCAGGCTAGCCCACCCACCCTGTGAGGGGCGGGTGTGGAGAAGGTGCAAAGCATCCTGGGATGCTGGGAGAATGTGTGTTAACTTGAATCTGGAGGAGATCTGGGGCAGAAGTCCAATAACCCAATTTAACCTAAATCAGTTAAGTCTGATACTACATCCATCCAGGTTTACCTTAAACCAGTTTCAGCCATTTCGAAAGTGGTTTGTATGCACTGAACTTCTATTGTGTTACAGATTTGAACCAGTTTCCAAACACTTAAATTGGTTTATGTGTAATTTCCATCCCTAGCCCATCAGACTTGGCTTGGAAGAGTTCTCACTTGGCTTGGAAGAGTCTGTCTTTGGCTGGATCTTTTTTCTCTGCTTTCTTCTTTTCTAATGTATCCCAGCATCAATCATTTCCCTCAGTGCTTACCCCTTGATAACTTCCACTTAGGTTCTTTATGCTGATGACTTTAAAATTCACCTGCTGACTGTGCTATCATATGGTATTTAATAAGCACCAAATAATAAATGCAGATTTTGAGTAACCAAGCAGTTTAATTAGCCTGGATACTGGTGGCCGAGTTTCACTATAGTGACATACAGAAGACTAAAATGTTGGCAGACAGAAGTGTTCCATGAACTTATTGTTCAGTTAAGTTGCTTATATTTGTACATGACAGCAGGCTTTGTTCCATCCCAACCACAGTGCTGTTACAAGCATTTGATATATTTTAACCTCTGAAGTTCCTGCTGTTATGACTATTGTGTATTTTTTTCATTGTGAAAGATAATTTTCAAATATTGAATTAATAATTGCTGTCATACTGACACAAAGGTGTGTTAACTGTACTTCTTCCTTAAGCCAAGCTTCCAGTAGTTAATGAATGATCTGGCTGAGGAAGAACCAGACTAAGAAACCGAAAGTAAAGACAAAAATAAACTATCTCCCCCACCCTGCTTCTTATACTCTTATCCATCCCCTCCCCCTCATCTCCAGCTTACCATTATAGAAATATAAATTGGGCAAGAAGCTGATATTTTTAATTACGTTATTTTATAATACAGGATGCTGCATGGAAGGACAAGCTGTCAACTTCCATTTGCCACTGTAATAGGCACTTACGTAATAAAGTAATTAAGAGGCTAGTTAGGAAGAAGGTGAACAGGGGTCATGCTTGCTTGGTGCCAGTGCATTAATTATCATAATTTATAAAGTACCCTACATTTTCAAAGCACTATCTCACCATTAACTTAATGCATTTCCATGGAAGCTAATGAAAGAGTGGAACTATTATTATCCCAATTTACAGATGGGTTGGGGGGGGGAGTAGATGAGACTGTCTCTGCAAGTGATGTAAATGACTTGCCCGAAGTGTGGGAAGGTTAAAATCCTGGAGTATCTCCTCTATACCACATGTATAGAGTAACTGTTAGAGCATGTTCCAGCCAAGTGCCTAAGAGTATATAAATATCTTGTTATGCAGATGAGATGTTAGCCTTATTTAGAGATGTAGTTGGTATCTCTCACCTCCTCCACTAACTTGCCATCACTCATGTAAAGGTTGAAGACACATCAGGGCAGGTACATAAATTTGACTGAAGTATCAGCTTGAAGTCACCAGTGATTATGGAAATATGGAACATTGTTGGCCCCCAGCACTCAATGCAAACCAGTCATGTACCAGAATACTGGTTCCTTCTCCTTCCCCTTTGTTGAAAAGGTACTGGTTTAGCTGTTGGTTCTCTCCCACTGTAGGAGAGAACAACTAAGGGCTAAAAAAGGTGACAGTGGCTTCGAGAGCTGTTGCTGTCACTGGATAGTACATGGCCAGGACAGAATGAAGCAAGTACCCTCCAAAAAACTTTTTAGTTTCGGAGGTAGTAAGAGGAAGTGAAGGAGGAGGTAGGTACCCTTCCGACCCTACCAACTATGAAACAAAGAAACTATGGTTTGAGATAAACCTGGTTGAATGTAGTATCAGACTTAACTGTTTTGGCTCAAACCAGTTTATGCAATGTCTGTCCCAGACCCCTTGCTGGTTTAAGATAAACCAGACACCCCCAGCATGCTCTTGGGCTGGATGGGGCTATCTGCTCCACAACAGGGCTGGCAACTCCTCTCCGCTCTCTAGTCAGAGCAGGGGCAGGGTGTGCCTAGACACTGGCCTGCCATGGCTCCTGTGGCATATTTCTCTCTCCATTCCCTCTCACCCCCCTCTCCCTCCTCTGGCAAATCCTGGGGACTGCAGCTGCTGTTTGCCAGCCCCAGCTGTACCTCCATAGCTTCCACCTCCCTTGGAAGCATATTTTGGCAACTTCTTGGCAACTTCTTTTGGCAACTTCTTTACAGTGAGGGTTGCCAAAATATGGAATATGCTTCCAAGGGAGGTGGTGCTGTCCCATTCCTTGGCGGTATTTAAAAGGTGATTGGACAGACAAGTGGCTGGGGTTGGACTCAATGATCTAATAGGTCCCTTCTGACCCTAACATCTATGAAACTATAAAGAAAATAGAGATAGCAGGGGAGCCATGAGGGGCAAAAATGTGTAGCAGATGGAAAAAGGAATAACACAGACAAAAGGACATGTATAAAAATGATTGAAAGGCTATAGGAATAACCACAACAAGAAGCAAGACAAATTGGTAACTTTTCAAGAACAAGTCTTTAGAAAGAGGACTACGTGGCTGTTGGCCCACATAGAATGATTTGCAGAATTGGGACCTAGTTCTGTAATATCTACAGCACTTGGAAGAAATTTCAATTTGCTGCAGGACAAACTCAACCTTTTCAAGCTCCCTGGGTTGATAGGTTGAGTACTTACCCATAACAAACTTTATGGGCTTTGTTATGAGACCTTAAAAACATATCAAGGTTAGTCCTTTTTCATATAGGCAGGAATAAGCTGGGGACATATTAAACAAATTATTTTTGCTGTGAATCAATGGTCAAAATTACAGCCCCCATACTTTGGAAGCGTCCATGGCTAGAGGTAGTTGTAATTCAGTAGCATTCTTTTATGGATGTCATTTAACACAGCATTTTGGATTCCTGTGGAATGAAAGTTAATAGATTTACTTCATGCCAATGAAGGTGAGCTGTGAACTGTGTATTTTAACAGATGGAATCATTCCTGTCCAGGTAGATTTTGTGGAGGGGAATAGGGAAGATGCCACAAATTAGATGTTTGTTCCTTGACCTTTGTGAATGAAGAAATGACGCATAGTACCCTCAAACAGGAATCATTATAAATAGAAATTCTGAAGTTTGAATGGAGGCCTACCTAGATGTTGTTAGCTCCTTTTTACACTTTTTGCATCATGCTGTTGGAAAACAACATCACAAAATGGGGAAGGGGCGAACCCTCTATCAGAGCAAGCAGAAGTTTCTTTTAACTTTTATTTTGGAGCTGCTAGAATGTACAGAATAAACAACCGCCTTCAGAAAATCATTGGCAGTATTAATTGCTTTATTAAAAAAGCTAAGGTTATAAGACTGTTAGCAATCTCAGACATTAAATTTTAATGAGTTTGAAATACTGAATTGTACAAAAGTAACTGTAGTTTCAAATTTAATGTATGCTATACCAGGCCACTATACTACTTGAGATATAGGATACATTTGTATTTAGGCAGGGGAGATAATGAATTCTTTCCAGCTACAGTTTTTCTTTACCTCTGCAATATTTTTTTATCCCAATTGTCAGCAGGCTTCATGGTTTTCTCATTTAAGCCATTGTATACAAACCAGCCTCTATTAAAGCAGAACAGAATTTTAGATAATAGCTTTAAGGCCACACAAACTACTGTTATTTTGTGAATTCAAAAATATATCTACAAATTCAAAAACTGCTCATCTGCTAATTCATAACTTTTTTCTATAATGGTATACTGAATATAAAAATAAGACTGCACCTGCCCCAAAAGGTTTATCTAGCTCTACAATTTGTGTTTGTGTAAGCATGAAAGGCTGTTGGGATGTATCTGAACGTTGCACAGGTGCAATCTGTACTAGAGAAATGTGAAAACGTAGTGAGAAATGTATTTGAGAAAAACATTTCTCAAATATCAACACTGTGATCATCTATTAATACTTTAGGCAGGCCAATACAGAATTTTCTGAGATGGGAATGGGGAGTGGCCATAAGCATAAATCAAAACTGAATATTTTTGGTGAAGTTACAAATACATGTTAAGCATGAACCTGAGGAGGTTGAAGGACCTTCTTTCCATTCCTTCTGGCATATACAAATTTCCCAACCTCTTTTGAGATCTGCTATACATAGTATAGCAATAGTCTTTAAGCCCACTAAAATACTTAAGTTGCACTTTCCAAAATCAAACTTGACAGATATGATTGCATATCAACACTGTGTGTGTTTTCACGTGTGAGGAATTTACATGAGACAATTTGCAGAGTCAGGAACCGGCATTTGTGAGTAATTCTGTGCACATTAAAGTTCATAATTATTCATTTTGACTACTTAAGGGGGTGCATCTACACAAGACAATGTGCAGAAGACTAATTCTATTGCACATTAGCATAGCGGCAAAGCCCATGCTAATGTGCAGTAGATTTAGTCTGAAGTGCTGTCACATCACAAAAAAAAATTTATCTGTGCTAACGTGCAGTAGCATGGATGGCATTGTATTAAGTTAGTACCTGCCATTAGAGATGCTAAACTTAATGCGCCCTAATTAAAGTGGATTAATGAATATGCAGATGCACCCCTCGTGTGCAAAAGTCTTGTAAGTCGTGGTGAGAGCAGGACCTTTCTTAGGCAACCCATGAGACATCACCCCATTTAAATGTTTCAGCAGCAAGCTGGGCACTTGATAAAGTTTGTTTGTTCGTTGTTCCCAGCTGTCTGGTGACCATTTGAATGAAGAAGATTAAAAAATAAAAATCCATGGAACAATATGAAAACATTGTTTTCCATTTTTTAAATAGGTATAAAACAGTCACAGACATTTCTAACGCTGCATAATTATGAAACCAATAAAGCATCCCTTGGTGCTTATAACACATTTGGATGACTTTCCACTTAGACTAAGAAGCCAGTGTTGTGTGTGGAACAAAAACCACTGAGGCACACAACAAAAGATCAGAGCTGGAGGCAGACACGTTTACCACCTATGTATGCATCCTGCTTTGGGAGAGAGGGAAACTTGAAAGTTCAAATACCAAAATTAATCCCAAAGGAGGGAGCCTTCTTCCAAGAAAAGGCAGCTCTTCCTGAACCAGCTCTTCTCAGGGCCTGAGAAACTCTTCCCCAGTGGAGGCAGTGCGAAGCGGCAGGGCTGTAGGACCCCGCGGTGCAGTGGGAAGAGGCAGGAGGACAATAATTTGTTCCATTGTAATGAGAACTGTAAATGTTGGCAATGGGCAGATTTCACAGGCCTGCCTTCCCTCGCTAACGGTCTTTAATGCCTCTCGCAAGCCAACACAGACAGTCTGCTCATTTATTGCAACAGTCAACAATTTTTTTCTTGCCAGAAACCACCCCCCCCACCAAAAAAAACCCAACCCAAAACAAAACCCCCAAACCAAACAACTTTTTATGAAAGCAAAGCTCAGCTCAGCTCATCAGCAGCCCATGCAGGAGGGGTTTTGGAGTTAACTGCATGCAGGAAATCTCTCACATCCTGAGTCCCAGCTCTCTCCTCTCTGTAACTGTATATTATGGTGCTGTTCTCCAGCCCCAGCTGATGAAAGTTTTGTCTCTTGCAGTCGGGGCTAAGATGTCAAAGCGTCTCCATGCAGAACAGCCGCGCTGCCCTCCTCCTCCTCTTCCTCACCCCCCAGCCCAGATATTCATGCTGCTCCTGAGCCTGAGCTGGCTCTTTTTAGCATCACCCAGGGCTCAAGGTAAGTCGACGGAGCGGGTTTTTTGTTTTCGTGGGGTTTTGCTGGCTTTTTCTTCCCTTCCTGCCCAACTGCCGGGCACAAATCAGAGCGGCGGTGGCAGCGGGTGGCCCAGTCCGGAGCCCTCCGCGCGCTCAGGAGCGGCCCCCGGGGGCCCTGCACGTGCTGCCCCCGCCCCAGCTGCTTGGCAAAGTCCCTCCAGCGCCGCCCCGGGCCCG